ATTATAGTGCAGCTCGCGGCCTGTTTTTTACAATAAATTCTCAGTCATCTGAACATCACTTGCTCTTCTCTCGACAAATTGCGCCACAGGCCGAAAAAAAGCTACGTCCCAGGCCTCATATCAGCCCTTCGCTGATTGGGGCATGAAGAGCATGGCCTCCGAGATTACAAACGTGTGGTGAGTTATCACGCCATGCGCCAGCAATCTCGGAGGCCATGGGGAGAGCTCGGTCGTTGCTATGGCAGCCACGGGAGGCCGCAACTTATACACATGTGCGCACGCAATCGCACTGTACAACCAAGCTGGTAGGTGTTCTGTGGAAAAACCCATGCATTTGAAGAAAAAAAAAGGAGAGAGATAAAGAGAGAAAGAAGAGTGTTCAAGGTCAGGAGGCGCGCGTGAAGTACTTTCTTCTCTCATGCCATCCCTACGGCGTTGCGCCGTGCTCCCTACCGGGCTGAAGAAATCGGGCGGCTTCTTCCTCTTCTAACCACTACCACCTCCACCATCCCTGCCTGCATAGTATATAGCTTTCAGCGCTTTAGTCGGGACGAGAGAAGAGAGAATACGATCACCGCGTGTGACAAGTCTTTGTTTAACTCCGCTCATACCGGATGGATTCTAAATTTTGGTTGCGGCGGTGAATTCATGGGGTAACAAGCTCCGCTCTTTTAGCGAATCCTTTTCGTGGCTACTTGAAAAAACCATTTGTCGCGTGAACCCTACCCCCCTCCTCCGCCACTTAACCCGCCTTTTTAGGGGCGTCCCCCGTTGTCGTAGTACGTAACGTGTGGTACATACCCGCATGCCAGTGGCACATACCCGCTCTCGGGCACATATTCGCGTGTTACTAAAAGCGTAACACAACGTCGTTATCTCGCTCTCGGTGTTAACGAGAGCGTTATAACGACTGCTGAAATGTGGTATGTACTCTGGTTTAGTCCTTGGATTGTCCGCTGGATGGCGGTAGTTGTAGAGCACAGCACAGGCAGCTCTGTCCAGCTCGGATCCGAAGACCCAAGAGGCCCTCGTGAGACGAGCGAGGACAGCGGCCCGTGTAAATAGCATCCCGGACTAAGGATCCCACTCACCGACATTCCTTCGTTTGTCACAAATAAATGTTTTATTCTCTCTCTGTGATAAAAAGAAGCGAGATGGCGGTACTTGAAGTGTTCACTAGATGGACGGACGGAGGGACGGATGGACAGACAGACAAGCAGACGGACGCGTGGACGCACGAACAGACGGACGCACGAACCAACGCACGGACGGACGCATGAAAGGGCGCACGTATGGACGAACGCACGCAGGAATGGAAGCATGGACGAATTGGTGGACGCTTCTTCCCACTGATCATCATTCCTTCCGTAGATATGCTGTGATTTAGTTTTTTTCGTCGCTTCTTGCTGGCATGATTTAGAAACTAAGCTGTGCTGTCGTAATATTATTCCGGGCCGCTTGGCAGTGAATAATGTCGGCACACGACCCCGGCGCGGTGGTCTATAGTGGCTAAGGTACTCGACTGCTGACCCGCAGGTCACCGGCTGCGGCGGCTGCATATTCGATCTATATAGGCGAAAATGCTGTAGGCCCGTGTGCTCAGATTAGGGTCCTTGGCTAACTATTGATCCTTGGCTAACTATTAACCAACAAGATCGTCGAGCTACAAATGTTTCTTTTTTTCTCGCGTCAGAGCATCTACACTTTTTTTCTCCGAGCACTCTGTCACAACTCGAACGCATATATTGTGCAAGAACTACGTAGACGTCACCCGACCAGTGAGTGAGTGGTCAAGAACTACAGCAATCTCCGGTCGGTAGGCGGCAGGTTCGAATCCGAGGGGTGTCGTATCAGGGTGACGTCATAGTCATCTTGTTCGCAAGCCAACTCATCGAAACAAGCCTGTCGCTGGGTGGATTGTGGTCGTGTGGCCCCGGTTGGATGTGGATCGCAGGATCTTCGCCGAATACTTGATGTGAATCGTCTCGGTCGGGGTCACGACTCGCCCGTGCTGCCTGGCCTCGCGGGCGAGGAGGAAAGGCAGCAGATGACGATGGGGATGATCGTCTGAGGGCGGGTGACCACATTCCACTTCCCCAAATATCTTCACATAAGCAAAGTTCTATAGCTAATTATTCATTTTTTACCAACCCAATTGTATGGTCAGAAGCTTTTTTTTTCGCGTCAGGGCACTTTCACATTTTCTCTGAGCACTCTGCATGCAACTAGAATACAAGTGTTAAAGAAGCCCAGGTGGTCCACATTTCTGGAGCCCTCCACTGCGGCATCTTTCATAATCATATGGTGGTTTTGGGACGTTAAACCGCACATATCAATCAATGTCTGCATACGGGAAAACGTGTCGCTATGTTATAATCAAAGCTTTGGCACTCTGTGAGATTTTGCGCAAGAATGTCGGCCACGAGCAATGTAAGTTGGCTCGGCGACGGTATTCAAGCTGCAGCGGTGGTCATACGCGTACCCACAAGGACAAATCTCCCCGGACTCAATCGGTTAGATAATTTTCACCATATAGACAGAGATTCGTTTTAATGGTAAACGCCGGACAGAGGGTGGGGCACGCATCGAGGCACACTATATAGCCAACGCCACCAAACGCATGCTGCGTGCGCCTTCTACCCTTAAAGCCCCAAGTCTTCACACCATCGAATGACACGCACATTTTTTTAAACTAAAAACGTTATATCTCTCCACATACGACGCCTCCCCACCACACTTCCAGCGTCACGGAGGCCTCCCTGCTCACCGCGGTGGTGGGACGGCGCCTTAAACAGCAAGTTTCACCCACGGCGCCTCGAGGCGTCGTGGGGGCGTGTCCAATCAAACGCTCACGGAGCGCGGAAACTGTCCCCATCCACGCCCGTCCCTGCCCGCCTGACTCGAGACCACGACTTGGGTCCAGCGTCAACGTCGGGCGACGGCAAGCTAATCGCCAGACTGGCCACGGCATACGACGACGTCCAGGTTGGCACCGCACAACGGGCGAGGGCCGGACCGCGTTGGTGACGGGGCCTGGGGGAGCTCTCAAGTCGCTGTGCGGCTGCTTTCTCTGAGCGACAGCGTCTCTCCGAGTACTCCCCTCTGTTGCCAGTCGCCGTGGGCGCGACTTCACGTGCTCCAGCTCTTTCCGTGGCGCCGGCGCTTCTGCGGAGCACATTGTCGTCATTCAGCTGTGGCTGCACCTGCGTATTAAAGGGGCCATGACACGGTCACCCACAAAATTGCGCTTTTTGGTGAATAATATAAGTAGACATAACTAGGCACCCGACAGTGGACCACAGGGCGCGACGAAGCTTTTTGGATCGCCTCAGCACTGTTGATACCCACCACCAAGGATACCAAGAAAATGAAACTCTCGCTGCAGCACATTGAGACGCTGTGTTGTCAATGCCCTTTTTGGCGCATTTTCAAAGAGCGCTTCCTGTGTGCGCACATAATCAGCCGTTACTCCCTGCTCACAACTATAAAAGAAAATAATATGCTCGGGCAAGCCCGATTTTCTGCATTTACTCGCTAGGCTGCGCATTGGAAGACTCGGTTTTGCTGCGCATACTCGATAGGCTGTGTGTTCTGGCGCTACCATCAGATCTTGTAAACTTTATTGCCGGGTGCCTATAGTGCATGTTCATGCGTGAAAATTGGCTAATGTTTCATTGCTAAATGAGCTTTGGAAATCTCCGCCTATAAACCTTGCCCACCGTTGGCGACCTTTTCCGTTACTTGTGAAACGTCACTTGCTTCATGGAACGCATCCGTCTTTTTCTACCTGCGATCCATTTGATTCCCCCTGCACTTTCTGAACATGTTTATGGTGCTGCCGTCTGGATACCGTCATCGTACTAGGGATATTTCAGCAAGAGCAACAGCAACGAGATGCGGAAACGGGCACGAGAGTGCGGATGCCGTGCAAACCCTATATATGCTACTGGTCACCCGTCTCTTGGGTTGAGGCGGCTGGGATTCGGGAAAGATGGTGTCGCATACGTTGTCTGACATGTGAAACTATACCGGAGAATGTTCGCTGTCGTACTCGTTGGACGCTGCTAAAACACGGCACGAATGCAATCGGATGTGACGTCTGCTGCAGCTGCAGCCACTACATCACGAGGAGGCGCAAGGGAACCGGTAAACTAGCCTTGCGCTACAGTTACACTTTGTCAGCACAAATACCGTGGTGCCGCCGCCATGTTGCACTCGTGAAACGCTTCAAACTAATATCGGAGTGAAGCGCCTCCGTTAAACAGATCACAAAGTGCAGGTGAAGCCAGTAGACCTCTAAAGGCCTGACTACACAGTCGCTGCAAACCATCTAATTTTCGATGGCGAACTTAAAAAGGTATACTGACACAAAACTTTTGGCCTCATGTTTTGCTTTTTTCTTTGCTGCAATCTTGCTGGGAGTTCGTTAATCGTGGCAGTTGGGCTCGGCAAAGGAGAATGGATCAATACATCAGACAACGCCTGGATGCCCTCTGATCACGAATCCGTACTTTCTGTCATTCTAAAGCAGAAGCGGCAAAGGACAGTGGCAGAAGCGGCAGCGATACGGCGGTGCGAGTCTGTGTGCTAGTGAAGTCAACAAAGTGTTCAATTGAAGGCGAACAAAAAATCGCTCCAGACTGGGCACGACGCCGACTCCTCATCTTCGATTCGGTGTTCTGTGCCGTTTTATTGGTCATCTGCAACGCATCAACCAGCTCAAAATGTAGCACATTGTAACAGACTGCTCTATTCGGGGCACTGCGACAATTTTTTCACGTCTCGTCGCAGGATTCGCCAGTATGGCGCCTTAATTGGCAGACCATGGCGAATGGAAAAAAACTACGTGGGACTAGCAAGCGAATCACTTTCCGAATGGTTACGAGACTATATACCTGCGCGCCCCCGAAGGAACCGAAAGCCTTCGTACCCCGAGTACAGTTGTTAAGAGTTCTGCAGCATTATAGACGGTACGGGGATAACGTGCCTGCCGTGGATGTCTATGGCGCTGTCGCCGACGCGTGGGCGGCGGGCTCGCCCGCTGCGGCGACGTCCACGCCCCTCGTATCGTCGTCGTCGTCGCCGTCCCTAGGGGAGACGGCAGACGGACCGCTCCTTGGGGGCGCGCCGAGGCCCATGCGCTTGATGGCCGTGATCTTGGCCAGCACCGCCTCCTCGGCCTCGTCCCGGGGCACACCCCTGTACTGGAGCCAGTTGTCATCCTCCAGCACGGCGAAGGCGTACGCGGCCGCCACGTGCAGGCCCAGGCGCTTGCGACTGGCTGTGGCCACCTCGGGAAGGTGCAGCAGCTTCATGTAGGGGCCGTCTGCACCCAACCGCTGGTACGCCTTCAGGAACGCCTGCGCGTCGGAGAGTTCGAGGCTTTGTCAGGTCTACCGGAGGATCTGAACCCCAATCCCCTCATTATTTGAATGTATCCTTCTGAAAAGATGGCGTTGCTGGAGAAGCATGCATAACGTGCGGTCTTGGAGACGATAAGTAGGCGGTTTCACGTCCGATCGCAAGCGGCACCGCGTGATACGCTTTCTCGCCTCGGCGTTCGTATAGATATACCATACCTGGAGTTGGTCACCCTTGGCACGCAGCTCTGGGATGATGTCCAAGACCCAAGAGTTGCAGCCAATGAGGAACTCCAGGATCAGCTGCACATGCTTCATGCCAGCGAAGCGCCAGCCCGCGGACACGTACTCCTGTACCTGTCGCATGGGGCCCTGCGCGAACGTTAGTATAGAAATGCGTGACTACAACGCCTACGCTGCTCTTGGTTCATGCGTGGTAAAACTGGTTACAGGAACAACTTCTGAATATACGCACAAACAACGCTACCTTCATGTTCAGCCAACACCGGGGCCTACGTGGTACGGGTACCACCCGCTGCACCTTAAAGTAGAACAATGTCAAAATGGACACGCGTGTAACTGACCTTTGAGCATAGTTTGCCTCTGCGGGCAGTCACTGTCAAGGGTATACGCAAAACAGCTACAGTGAAGTACGCTTTGAATCATAACACTGCCGTAATGCACATTAACTTTCAAGACCTACCTTTCAGCCCTCCTTGTCTAATTCGGTAATCATCAATTGCAATTCGTCTCCCTACTCAGAAATGCAATGTCATCGCTGAAGCGCAGGTTACTAAGGTACTCTCCAGTAACTATTATCCCTAACTCCTCCCCTTCTAGCCCTTTGAAAATTTCCTGTAGAAACGCGGTAAATAACATTGGGGAGATCGTATCTCCTTGTCTTACACCCTTCTTTATTGTTATTCTACCACTTTTAAATCAGAAGCATTTCTTAGTGAACTTCGGTGATGATGATGATGAAAAACATTTATTATAAAAGAGAAAGGTACGGGGCCAAAGCATAACCCCGCTACATGGTCGGCGTCCTTAGTCCGGGACACCGCATGACGAGGCCCCTATTCGCGCCCGTCTCACCAGAGCCCGTTGAGACTCTAGTGATGAGCAGTTGAGGAGGGCAGTCTCCCATGCCTCTCGGGAAGGGGTAGTTGAAGGGGGTAGGTGGGGATTTTTCGGACATGCCCACACCATGTGGAAGATATCACATGTCTCCCCACAGTGTGGGCACCGTCCATCTGTGTTCACATCGAAATGTTTTAGGATTGCAGGACAGAGTAGAGTACCTGTCTGCAGGCGCCTTAGAGTTCGCTCTTCCGCCTTACTCAGCTCTTTGCAGGAGCCGGGTAAAGGCGGTGAGTGTCGCAATAATAGGTCAGAATTTCTTTGAACCACAGCAGCCGTGTTTTGGCCCCCGAGTCATAAGAGCCAAGGTGAGGAGCCCGGTGGGTAAGCGCTCGGGCGGCCGCGTCAGCGGCCTCATTACCTCGTAAGCCCTGATGGCCAGGAGCCCATATGATGCGTTTCGGGGCTGGATCAGCGAGAGCCCGTTTTAGAATTTGGCTGGCTAGGGGGGATATCTCTCCTGTCAAGTAATGAGCACATGCTTTCCGGGAGTCCTTGATGATAACTTTCGAGTTAGGGTCTTCGGTGACTGAGCGTATCTATCTATCTATCTATCTATCTATCTATCTATCTATCTATCTATCTATCTATCTATCTATCTATCTATCTATCTATCTATCTATCTATCTATCTATCTATCTATCTATCTATCTGTCTGTCTGTCTGTCTGTCTGTCTGTCTGTCTGTCTGTCTGTACCAAACTTGGTATGACGTACCATGACTGTACGAAAAACTTGTTTGACTAGTCATAACATGAAAATCACGACATGTTTGTCATGAATGTCATGATTCACATTTCATGGTCCTGCCACTCTTGCGGTGGTTTTGTTCCCATAGCATGTCGCAAAACAGGTATGGTATGACAAGAATACATGGCGAACAAAAGCGACAGACTTTAACATGAAAATCATGACATGCGTATCATGTAACAACATGACTACGTTCCACGCTAATGATGCGATTGCGGCCGTTTCGCTAGCGTCACATTTACCAAATTTGGTATTACGGTACGTGAATAGAAAACGAAGGTTTGTGACTGGTGCAAACATGATAATCGTGAGATTCGTGTCATGTATTAACATTACTACATGCCACGCTCATGATGCACTGGTGGTCATTTCGCTAGCTTCACTCATACCAAATTTCGTATTGCGGGACGTGAATGAATGCAGAGGCATGATACTGGTGCAAACATTACAACATGAGATGCGTGTCATGTAACAACATTACTACATCCTACGCTCAGGATTCACTTGTGGCCGCTTCACTAGCTTCACATGTACCTAATTCGGTATTGCATCACGCGAACGGAAGACATAGATAAATGACACATCCAAACATGATAATTTCGACATGCGTGTTATGTGACAACATGACTATACATGTGCCACACTCATGATGCACTCGCGGCTGTTTAGCTAGCTTCACATATTCCAAATTTGGTATTACGTGAAGTCAATGGATGACGAAGGTATGTGACTGGTGCAAACACAATAATCATGAGATGTTTGTCATGTGAGAACATGACTACATGCCACAGTCAAGGTGCCAATACCTTTCGACGTGACGCGGTGCGCGTGCTCGCCGGCGTTCATTTCGTCGCGTCACGCCGGCATTGCCACGCTAGGCTCCGGTCCTCCCATATACTCGCAGGAGCGCGCCACGCTGCGTTGCTTTGACACATGCGCGTTTCACCACGTTCGGCATCCCTCCGTCACGAAGAGGGGCAGACGCAGTGTTGTCTGAGTAATGCATCGGGGCAAAATGCAGCATGTCCCATTTCACGCCGGTTGCCGTCGGGCCGCGCAGACGTACGCTGGTCGCACCTGGCTTTAGACTGTAGAGTGTTCACGTTTTGCTAACGTAGCGTCACTGTGTCCAGCGTGCGCGCGCACCAACGCTACATTGGAGTATAATGGGCCCATCATAATGTGCTCGCGGCCGCTTTGCTAGTTCCAGATATACCAAATTTGGTGTTACGGGATGTCGATAGATGAAAGTATATGTCTGGTTCAAACATGATAATCTTGACGCGCGTGTCATGAAACAACATGACAACATATCATGCTCATAGCGTGCTCGCGGCCCTTTCGCTAGCTTCATATATACTAAATTTGGTATCACGTGACGTAAATAGATGAAGGTGAACGACACATTTGAACATGTTAATCATGACACAGAAGTCATGTAGGGCGTTATTTACATCCACCTCTTAACGTTGTGCTGATTTTAAAGGGAGATATAAACCTTCCTCATTCCTGCTTCGCATATCATCGATTCCCACTGTACGTGGGATCTGCCACATTTTATGGATATTTTATGGGGCACTATGGTGGCAGTTGATCCTGCAGTGGGTACATTTCTTCCAGGATGTTTATATTTGTTTCGTCAACGCCCTGATTTCGCAGTGTCTGATGAGTCTCGCTAGTGAATCTAATGCCTTCTCGTAATCTATGAAGACTATGTATAGTGGTTCGGTGTATTCCGAGTATTTCTCACTAACCTGATTGATGGCACGAATTTTGGTCGTTTGTGGAGTAGCCTGTTCGAAATCCTGTTTGTTCCTCTTTAAGATGTTTAAGCCCAGTTATGCTTGTGCAGTTAGCCCATTAAAAAGAAACCATTCGATGAAAAAAAAATCCTGTGTGAGCCACATGGGGCTCACGGCCTGCGTGTTTGAGACCACTAATCTAGGCATACATGATACACCTTCCGGCCCCGCTATAGCCCAGCAGACGTGCCTCAACGCGTGCTTCTCAGCGGGGCGTGGAACAGTACCCCCTTACTTTGCGAGCATTTACGATGGACGTATTTGTACAGTATGACACAGCCTAAAGTGGAACGCCCTTCGTACTCTAGGCACACATAACCCAGCTACAGCCGAGTACATTCTCAGGAACCACACGCACCCCAAAGAGGCCCCAATGCAGTCACGTCTCAGTGCACATATTGGTAGAAACAAGAGATGTCGTCTAGTTCACTGAGAAACGCCATCGTTACTCCGGAAACATGCTACAGCCTCGTACATTGTAAAGTAGAACGCGCACCTCGAAGCGGCTCCTCAGCAGGGCACGGCAGAGGGCCGCCCTGGTGTGGCGCCACTTGTCGCCGAAGTTGGAGATGGCGTCCGCTTGCTCCTCGCCATACAGGGGCACGGGAGGGGGCTCCGAGACTCCCGGGAAGAGCTCGACGAGGTCGTTGACCCGGTTCTCGAACCAGTCGCGGTTCAGGTTGGAGCCCCGGGCACGCGGTAGGTTGCACAGCAGCACACTCAGGAGCACGTAGAAGTCGTCCATGGTGGCCGCGGGCTCGGAGTCGGCACACAAAGAGCGTAGCTCGCGGCGCACGAAGACACCGCTCACGTGCAGATCGTTTAGCCAGACACCGTCGACTTCGCTGGCACGGACCATCTGTCGTGGACGCGACGTGGAAGAGGAGACACATGTGTGCATAAAGCGCCTTACAAGTTCGCCGATACGCGCAGGAAGCTGGAAGACTGCGCCTAGAGAGTGTTTTACAGATTGACTCCATTTCCTCCATTCTCGGGAGACTAAGAAACAGGGAGGGGGAGCAGGGTATCAACCAAGCCTGGGCGATGCCCAGAAGATCGATACGCCCCCCCCCCCCCATCCCACAGTTTTTGCATTTGATGGCCATGACACACAAAACATTGGCAGCCAATCTACGAAGCGAGTGATGATGGTGTGAAGCTCCTTGAACGGTTACAAAATGTTCATTAAGCGCTTAATAAATTAATTCAAAGGTCCTAGGTGGCCGCTTGGTTGCGCTGGACTCTACAGCGCTCGCAATTTGCTTGCGTGCTGTCAGGGCGAAGTGACCGTTTCACGCGTTCGCAGCTTTGAGGGGAGAGAGTGGAGATGAAGAGGGAGCGGGAGATGGGCGAGAGAGGGGTGCAAGTGGTGACGTGACGGGGAGGTTCGGCGACGGCGAGGTGCAGGCCTAAGGAGCTTCACTCCAAAAAAAATTTATAGCACAACTCCACGACCCATTTCGAACAAAAAATCCACGCATTGCGAGCTGCACGTGTAACTGCAATAAAGTGCTTTGCACAGGTCTTTCAGTCAATTCTTTTCCTCATCTAGCCGCTCGTTCTATGCACACACTTTTTGTTCTCAACGTTCTTCGAACTAATGCTACTTGTCAAACTGAAGAGCCACGCCAAAAGGCTAAGTTAACCCCTACTCCCCACCCATGCCGTGACCTCCCTTGCACTGTTGTGCACGTCATGAAAGAGGCTCACTTGTTTGTATCCGTCCTCGCATACGAGTTTGAAGAATCCCAGCATGCATGCGACCGTGGTGGCCGGGTCTCGGCCTCGGGTCACCAGGCGCACGCAGTTCGGGTCGAATGGCTGCCCCGGAGGGGGGAACACGTACACCGTCTGGTGGACAAACACCGAACCCAGGGCCTCGGCGGTCACCAGGGGGAGTGAGCGCATCCGTAGCATGGCTTCACGTCCGTGTAGGCGTTGCATAGTTTCCTGCGTTCGACAACGGGGGGAGGGGGGACACCATTGCAGACATAGTCGCTAGGGAGCCTTCATTAAGGCTCTCTACGCAGTCGCTCGCTGAAGGAAGCTAGGAAGGATATAGGAAGCTATTTTTCACAGACGTGCTCTCCGAGATTCGAGGGAAGATGTGCTCTCTTGAAATAAGTGTAAATAACGCAATAGGTTAAGAAGAATGGAAGAAACACGCACGTTGCTTGGACTGCGCTTCCACGTGTCATATGCATTCCTTCTTTTCGTCTCAAGTTCTCGCACAGTTTGTTTGGTCTTCTTTCAGTATGATCCAACAAACCCGAAAAATTTAATGCTATCCATGTGTCTTCGTCTCATGATATGATTAATCATCACGATGGCGATCTCTCTATGTTCTTCGCAAGAAATAAAATGGCCAGACGTAAGGGTAGACTTCGAAGAGGCTTAGAATGTGACTCGTCTTCTTTGCAGCTAAAAAAAAGAGTCAAGTCTCAAGCATGGAAAAGAAAGGGTGGGGCGAGGGAAAGGGGCCCCCTTATTTCATTGAACCGGGCTATCTCTACTGTTAATCCGACCTTGCTCATAGGTGGGATTTTATTGTTATTTTTCGCTCATATATGTGCTCATATATGTGTCCTCCGTACTGTTAATCCGGCCCTGCTCATATATGTCCTTACGACCCAGGGCGATCCCTCGTCTCTCCGGCGTTAACAGTAGCGTTTCCCTTAACATACTCCAAAGTTAACCCCTACTCCCCACCCATGCCGTGACCTCCCTTGCACTGTTGTGCACGTCATGAAAGAGGCTCACTTGTTTGTATCCGTCCTCGCATACGAGTTTGAAGAATCCCAGCATGCATGCGACCGTGGTGGCCGGGTCTCGGCCTCGGGTCACCAGGCGCACGCAGTTCGGGTCGAATGGCTGCCCCGGAGGGGGGAACACGTACACCGTCTGGTGGACAAACACCGAACCCAGGGCATGCGACCGTGGTGGCCGGGTCTCGGCCTCGGGTCACCAGGCGCACGCAGATGGCGCAGTTGGGTGACGATATACAAAATGGCGATGTACGCATTCTGTGTCGCCATCGCCATTTCTCGTCTAGTTTCCTAGATGGCACTGACCCATAGAAATACGCAATAGGGTGGTTGGGTGAATCGACACTAGATGGCGTTACAGCTGCCACAACTCGGGGTGTGGAGAGGAGGAGGAAACTGCCGTACACTTGATAATGTTCTGTAAAGGGCTTCACCCTGTAGTTCAGGATGATGGCGCCGAGTTCTTCTAGCACTGGGGTTTAGGGACAGGGAGGGCAAAATAGACTTTAAGTGGGTAGAATTAACTAGAAGGAGGTTATCTAATTGATGGCTAAAGTCAAGGCACGAGTGAAAATTATACCCTTCACTGCAAAGTACCAGTCCTCAACTTCACTATTTAAAGGAAAAAAAAAGATAAATCTAGCTTTGGCTTCACTAAGTATTACGGCTAGGTGGTGTTAGCCACTGCCCCATCTAAAGGGTACAGCCATATCAATCCATTCATCCATCCTCTTTGATTGGCAGCTGCATGAGACTGCGCCGGCGCGCCCGTTCCCTCATTCTCCTTGATCGTCGCCGTACGTGTCGAATCGCGAGAGCGGCGCCGGGCGGATACCTAAATGGTGCGCGCCAAGGACGCCGCTGCGAAACGTGCCCAACGAGAAGCGGATCCCGGAATGCGAGAGCGGGAAGCGGCGATGTTCTCGGAGGATTCACGCTGCCACCGAAAACCCTCTGCAGCTTTGCCCAACTTATCGCCATCCACTCGCTTGAATTTTTTTAGATGCGGAAGCATCTTATACTCGCGCCTTGTATTGCGATGTCCGCGCCGTCCGCACCGCTTCTCGAACATTCGACAGCTGACGCGCGCGCATGCGCCGTCGCGCCGTCGCCCACTCTTCCACCATCTGTGCATCCCTTCCTCCTCTACACACCGCGCGTGCTTCACTCCTCCACCATCTGTGCACCCTTCCTCCTCTACACACCGCGTTCGACATCTACAATTCTCCTGATTCTCCAGTGGACGCGCATGTGGCGTCGCGCTTCGAGAACATTCAACAGCTGACAGTGCATGCGCCGTCGAGCTGTATATATACTCAAGGTCGGCGCTCGCTCGCTCAGTTGCCGCTCGTCGGTTGGTTTGTACGGCGCGTCGACGTCCAAGGTCGCGGTGAAATGAATTCCAACGAATCCACAAACACAATGATCGACGTCCCTTCGACCAGCGCCGCCCTTTCGCATACGTGTGTACGTGTTCACTCATTTAACACCCCTCCTACAACCACGTTACCAATTTAGCCATCGACCCAAGTAAGTCGTTCACTCATTTAACACCCCCTCCTACAACCACGTTAACCAATTTAGCCATCGACCCAAGTAAGTCGCACTTTAACACCCCGTTAACCAATTATATGCTCCGCATCCTCCTCAGTGTTCCCCCGAGGGAAGCTGCGGGCAATTTTTTTTTCTTGTCAATCTTCGTTTCTTAATCTATCCCGTTTACTCCTTGCTAATCCCATTTTCTCGTGAGCTACTACGGAGGTGTCGCACTTAGGTGCACACAGTTGCGGGGCTCACTTTTCTCACCTTTTCTTTTCGTTCTTGTTCACCCATTTCCAGTGGCGCACTCACATCTCTTGCAAAATCACTGCCCCCACCTTCACGGACAATGGCAGGATACGAGGGGCCTTACCTCGAAGGAGGATTCTCGGCCCAGGAACTGACCGTCCGAGCAAGAGACCGACGCAGTGGTTCCAACGAACAGTCCGGGGTCCTCTCGTCGAATGCCAGAGATCCCGGGCCGATCACGAGCTACGAACTCGCGAGCTGGTGCGCGACCACGGGCAACGTGAGCAGACCATCGACACGTTGGCACGCGCTAATCATGGCGATGATCATGCCTCCAACATGGCTCACACCCACGCGGGGAATCGGCCAAGCATCGATCATTTGATTTAATCAAACGTTTTTTCAGCATTGTATATCGATAACCAAAGAGAAAAACCGCGTACGTAAAACAGCATGAGTGCAATATTTCGTGTTTTTCACAAGTTAATATCATACTCTGGTACATGCCGACTTCAACATTCGCCACTTGTTACCTGGTGCCGTTTGGGGTCCAACCTGTTCAGTTTCCGCCAGCTGAAGAGCTGTTAGGGACGAAGCGCCTTGCGATTCATGATGATTGATGTGTGGGGTTTTACGTCCAAAAACCACCATGAGATTATAAGACACTTCATAGTGGAAACTCCGAAAATTTAAACCCCCTGGGGGCTCTTTAACGTGCACCCAAACGAGAGCACACAGGCCTACAACATTTTCGCCGCTTTCAAAAATACAGCCGCCGCCGCCGGGATTCGATCCCGCGGCGTTAGGGCCAACAGCCGAGCAGCTTATTCACTACAGAACACCACGGTGAGGGATACACTTTAGCTTGCTTATTTAGCTGCGTTCCAGGTGAACACTATCCTCGCAAGCACTACATCTGCTTACCGGCAACGGGCGTAGCGTTTTCGCATGGGCGCCATATGAGTTCTCGAAGAGCGTTTGTTCCCCGCAAACGCAGATGCACGGTCGAGTCACCGCAAAGGGGCTTTCCGGGCCTTGAGGGTTGCACGCCATTCCGGATTTCTTGTGGGTGGACCACAAACGCTAACTATAGCGTTACGACGCATGCATAGTGGCAGCGACCGCAAGAAACAGTGTTCGCGTTCGCTATTTGAAAAGTTCCTAACACCCGCGTTGCTGTTGGCGTCATTGCGCAACGTTAGTCAACTGGGCATGCGTAACCTTCTTTCTCACCTTCTATCCGCATGATAAGATCGATTCCCATAGAGATCTGCCAAAATCTATGCTTATGTGTCTGCACCCATATATATTGCCACGCCAGCTCCTCTATATTTTCATGTCAGCGTCCCATCGCATTGTACCAGTTCCTTTGCGCTAAGCGCAGCCCAGTTACTGCTAATGATCTAGATGTAGGAACCTTCCAATCAGATTACATGCTTAACGCAAACATGATAGTTCTGGAGCTATAGTGCGGCCGCTAGCGACAACGCTGCAATCGTCGAAGATGCATGCATAAAATACATAAATAGCTAGCCGTTAGCAAGCTGTACAACGCACGCTTTGTGGCGGGCCAATCTCGCCGCGTGCTACGGAGCGATTTGTCGTATGGCCTGACGGAAATACGTCAGAGAAGCCGTGGACCCGGCATAGAACACTTTCGTGTTAAAAATTGACTGCTAAAAAGGGCATGGGGAGGGCAATACGATAAAGACAGTATGCAATATTGTCGCTACGAAGAAAGAACACAGATTGATTGATATGTGGGGTTTAACGTCCCAAAACCACCATATGATTATGAGAGACGCCGTAGTGGAGGGCTCCGGAAATTTCGACCACCTGGGGTTCTTTAACGTGCGCCCAAATCTGAGCACACGGGCCTACAACATTTCCGCCTCAATCGGAAATGCAGCCGCCGCAGCCGGGATTTAAACCCGCGACCTGCGGGTCAGTAGCCGAGTACCTTAGCCACTAGACCACCGTGGCGGGGCAAGAAAGAACACAGGACAAGACTTCGTTGTGACCAGTATATATAGAATGATGTATTTACGCACGGGAAACGCAAAAGCGAAGGCATTCACGTCGTCTTCCTCGGGAAAAAGCGAGAAGCTGCCGTTCGTGCTGCTCGCTTCGATCTCTTCTGTTGTGCTGCCAGCTATTGATTGTGACAATACGTAGCGTTATACGTCCGCAAACCACATTATGATTACGAGACACGCCTAGTGGAATGCTTCAGAAACATTGGTGCACCTGGTGTTCTTTAACGCGTACCAACATCGCACAATGGGGGTCAAAATATATAATTTACGGGGAACAATATTTGGGATGTTTACTGTCCACGTAATGTCGGTGGACGTTAACGAACGACCACCGAAATTTGCAGAACCCTTCAGTTCAACGTCTCAATCACATCGCGACACGATCATTATTGCTAGTAATGATTATCCACAAGTGTTTTCTTCACTATTAAGTAAGCAACCCTGCCCTTAAATCCGTTAGTAGATGTATCGTACATGCGCCCTCTATCCACCAGCTAGCCATCGAGAAAGCCAGCTAGTCATCGAACGACAAAGCACATTTACGAAACGAATAAATGTTATTTTCAACAACGGACCTGCTCCGCTATCTTCTCGTGGTCCACCGTTAGCGAGGCGGCACCGTAAACTACTAGTAAAACCACGGTGCAAGCCGTGGGGTTGTGTCCTACGAGAGGTCACTTCGGCTCGGACATGATCATGGTTCTCGGCCGATGCTGTTTGCGTGTCCAGGAACAAGGAATGTGGTTCGGTGCCGAAGAAGCCGCTCGAAGTGCAGGCGACCCGCCAGGCTGGCTCCGACACTGGCCGACGGGCGGTGTCGGGCGGGCAGGTGCAAGCGACGAGGAACCAAATGGTGCCTTCGGTTAGTGGCTGGGTGTTGCGGGCGACGGCGTCATCCCCCAGCACTTATTGCGCGGTTGGTGCTCGCCATCAGCCCGACCTTGCACGTTGCGGTTCTCTCGGCGTTTCAGGCACCTCTGGTGGCGCCGCCTGCGTATGAAACGAAAAGCGCATGCTCACATGTGGCATCTTGTCTTTCGCGTTCATTGGTTATCTGCAAAACATTTTGCCCGTTTCTTGACACCAAGCTGGCAAAGGGGGCCAGCGTTCTCCACTCTCGACCCAGCACTATAGACGTGGGTTCAACCACAGCCGCGGCAGATGCATTTTCAACGGTATAGGCGAAATTTGAAGAGTACTAAACGTACTATTAAATTACACCGTGTAATGAAATGTCTTAACGACGACTTCTCGCAGCACCAATAGTCTGGCAACGCTAAACCCTACTTTACTTTTTAAAGTGCAGACAAACAAAATACTGCTCCGTATGTGTGAATCTTGCGTGTTTAGCCATTTATTTTTTTAACCTATTTTAAGAAGGAGTCGGCTCGAACAAGCATTCGTTTTAGCTGATATTGTTAGCACAAGAGCTTTAGGTGGGGTTAAACATGTGGCCAGTAGTGAGTGACACGGGTGGAGCTAGAAGTGATTGGCCACTTCAGCTGCACCTCGAGCCACTCAACTGTTCCCACCGTTAATTCGCCTCATGGTAAAACGGTGCACGTCGCGGTAGAGGTGGCACCGTCTCACAAAAGAAGCTGCAGAATGACGCGTCTTCGTGGAACGATTCTGAACTTCGGCGCATTGGCCACTGGCACCACTATATATACCTGCCTTACTTTCGACCATCGGCGCCGCCATCGACTTGAAGCGGCTCGGCGATTCCACAAGCAAAAAGTTTGCAAGTGTCCGAAAGAGTTTATGGAATCCTTGTCATACCCTTTCCGATAGCTGCGCGACAAAAACTGTATCGTGATAACGATCGTGTGGCCGTGACGAGCACGTTTATCTACGCCAATAAACGTAGGCGTATTTGCAGACTAGATCATTGTTGCCTGCCGACAGCCGGAAGACAAGCCGAGCGCCATGATATTAAGCTTATATAGCGTGAGCGTATACCAAGAACTAATACGGCGCCGCGTCCGAAAATGCTCTTTCGACAAGTTACAACGAAAGCTTCAATTACTCTTTTGCCTGTAGTGATAGATTATTATTATATTATTATTATTATTATTATTATTATTATTATTATTATTATTATTATTATTATTATTATTATTATTATTATTATTATTATTATTATTATTATTATTATTATTATTATTATTATTATTATTATTATTATTATTGTAGAAGGAAGAAGAATATGTGCCGCAGTGGGTCACGCCTTTAGCAAGAGGAGCCAAGCGCGAGCGTTTGCCCCGATTGCTGTGATTCCTGAGTCCGTTGCTGCCGCCCGCTTTCCGCATCAATAGACCTACTGTGCAAGTGCTACATGTGCCAATAAACCCCGTTCCAGAGTGGTGGAGGTGCCGGGTACTTCAACCTGGAACTCCGCAACAGGAAACTACCTGCCATCCCAGAAATGGCTGAAGAAACCACCCAGCAAGGTACGACCCAGCCTCCGATGGTCATCGTGCCCACTTCGCTACGCGTGCGTGATCCACCTTTTTTTCGACGGTACCGATGAGCAAGACGTAGAAGATTGGCTGTCGACATTTGAAAAGGTAGGCGCAAGCAACAAGTGGGACGTCCCTTCGAAGCTTCAATATGTACCCTTCTACCTGAAAGAGGTGGCGAGTCTCTGGTTTAACAACCACCACTCGGAATTCGCCACTTGGGGTGCCTTTAAGCTACGCATTACCGATGTGTTCGGTCGCCCCGAGGTACGCAAGCTCCGTGCCAAACAGCGCCTACGGGGACGCGCACAGCTTCAGGGGGAAGGCTTCAGAAGCTACATCGAGGATGTGCTCGACTTGTGCAAGCGCCTTGACCCTTCAATGATCGAGGCAGACAAGATCAAACACAACTTGAAGGGGATAGACGACGACGCCTTCCAGATGCTTCTGGCCAAGGGCCCCCGTACCGTGTCTGAACTCGCCACTCTTTGCCAGAGCTTCGAGGAATTGCGCAAGCAACGGGTCATGACACGGCGGCCAGCGACTACCGACGAAACTCTCGCGGCATTGACCCTAGGTGGAGACAACAACACAACCATGTCGGAAATCAAAATATATGTGCGCGAGGAGGTGGCCCGACAACTTTCGTGTCTGTCGTATCAACCGGCAACGGAACCTTCTTCTGAGCGTCTCGCGCCCGCCATCAGACAGGTAATACAGGCGCAGGTCTCTGAGGCACTGCTGCCCGTCTCTCAGACAACACCTGTCACCGCGCCATTGACTTACGCTGCTGTTGCTGCTACTCCACCACGACCTCCACACTTCGGCCGACTCTTCAGCCTCTACGAGTACCAACGACGCCAGTTCCAGCAATGGGGGGGTGTCATTCTCCCATTTCTGAACTATGCGTACAACACCGTGACGCAGTCAACCACAGGCTTCTCGCCTCTCTTTCTTCTATATGGGCGTGAGCCATGCTCCACACTTGACACCATTTTGCCGTATTGTCCCGACGTCTCAGAGTTCAGCCCTCTTTCTGAAATTTTGCACCACGCTGAAGAGTGTCGTCAGTTGGCCCGATCATTCACCTCGGACAAGCAAGCATTCGGAAAAGACCGCCACGACCGCGACCAGCAAGTCGAGACTTTTGCCGTGGGCTCGCTTGTCTGGCTCCGCCTGCCCTTCCACTCCCCAGGTCTGTCCGCTAAGTTTGCCCCCAAGACTCACGGTCCTTATCGCGTCGTCGAACGTCGATCTCCTGCAACATACGTGATCGAGCCAATCACGCATTCTACAGACAGGCGATGCCTTGGTCGTGAGACTGTCCACGTGAGTCATCTCAAGCCATATCACGACCCACTCCTAATCTCGTCACCTTGACTTGCCAGGATGGCTCGTCTTCGTCGCCGGGGTATTGTAGAGAGGAAAAAGAACATGTGCCGCAGTGGGTCACGCTTTAGCAAGAGGAGCCAAGCGCGAGCGTTTGCCCCGATTACTGTGATTCCCGAGTCCGTTGCTGCCGCCCGCTTCCCGCATCCATACACCTACTGTGCAAGTGCTACTTGTGCCAACGAACCCCGTTCCATTATTATTATTATTATTATTATTATTATTATTATTATTATTATTTTATTATTATTATTAAGCTGCAATCATTCGCGTCTCAACAAGCTGTTTAAACAAAGCCAGGCTAAGCAACAGCTTTATTAACACGTCTTTCCCACCATTCGCCAGTCGACAACGTGAGGATTCAGTCAACTTCAAACCTGGAAGCTTTGTCCAGCGATCTATATAGTGCGCGAAATACGCGACAGGGATCACGTGCCTGCCGTGGACGTCTACGACCGTGTGGCCGCCGTGTTGGCAGCGGGCTCGCCCGCCGCGGCGACGTCCACGCCCCTCGAGGGGGTCGTCGTCGTCGCCGTCTCTGGGAGCGATTGAGGCGGTGGCATCCACTGGGGGCGCGCCGAGGCCCATGCGCTTGATGGCGGTGATCTTGGCCAGCACCGCCTGCTCGGCTTCGTCCTGCGGGACGCCCCTGTACTGGAGCCAGTCCTGGTCCTCGAGCACGGCGAAGGCGTACGCAGCTGCCACGTGTAGGCCCAGGCGCTTGCGATCGGCTGTCGCCGCCTCGGGGAGGTGCAACAGCTTCATGTAGGGCCGTCCGCACCCAGCCGCCGGTACGCCTTCAGAAACTCCTGCGCGCAAGGTGCAATCAGGTCCTCCAGGCATTCAGAAAGGGGGTTGTTGTAGTGTCCCGATCTGGACACCCCCTCGATATCTCTATTGATGCGCGGTAGCTTGTTCTGAATTGATGTAGCACTGGTTCAACACGAAAGCCGTACACACGTGCATTACTCTCGAGCGTTTCTTTGGCCTTCTCTTCATTACACATCGGGTGACGTGGCCAGAGTCATCCAGCAGGGCTTTCACGAACAAAACAAAAAAACGTACACAATCGTGAAGTGCCTTGCGAGGCTGTGTGGTGACAGAGAATAGCGCTATCGAAGACAACGAGAACACAATATTTACTCGTTTTGTAACGTTACCATGGCAACTGCGACAGGCGACTTCAGTAAAGAGAAGAAAATCAAAGATAATGTCACTTTACATACTGCACTTTCTAAAAACTTCAATTTATGTGTCCAATTCCAACTTGATGGTCAACTTCAGGTAGTGGAATCTGGCAAAAGACGCGTTTTTACTTTCGAAGTAACTTAAAGGCAGATGCCACAATCTTGTATAATACTGCAGGTCATGGCCGTATTTACTTACAAGGAAATGTGGAGGAGGGAGAGTTCCGTATTGAGAGAATTCAACATTTGAAAAATAAATCCACACGGGATCTTACATTTGTGACACGTCACTGGTTCGTCACATCGTACACACGCATGGAACAGTTCCACGGAATATTAGCCCGGCGCCATCGAATTTTGGCCGTCTCGAGAGGTCACTCTTCTCCAAGTTGTGTAATATATTGTATGCCAATACGATACGACAATCTAGATGGATCCGCTGTATTATGCAAACCTATTCGCGAGGCTTCGCCGAAGTTTGTTTTCAACGCGACGACAGAAATGTTGTATTGGTAAGTGTGTTTGGACTTTCGCGGATACCTAGACTACTGCGCGGTCACACGCCACCCTTTACACAGTCGTGCAACTCACCCCGATGACCATCGGCAGCCCGATTCACCACACAGTCTGCAACGCGAGCACGTCGCACATGTCTGATCTCACGTACCATAGCATAATACGCTTTCTGGCCTCTTGCGATATCCTCGAGGTATGTACACATGCGCTACCTGGAGTCTGTCACCGTTGGCGCGCAGCTCTGGGATGATGTCCAGGACCCAGAGTTCTGGCCCCTGACGTACTCTAGGATCAGTTCGACGTGCTTCATGCCAGCGAAGCGCCAGCGCATGGAGACGTACTTCTGTACCAGTCGCATGGGGCCCTGTGCGAATGTTTGTCGTGACAGACAGTCGTAAGCATCACCGCAGGATCTGCTGTATCATATATGACAATGCCACACTTTGGTGCGTGTATACAGAGAACACGGTCGGAAGAAATGCAGAAACAATGCTACTTTTATAATCAGACAAACAAGACAGGCATGGTACAAGTACCATGTGCTAGAATACCAATCTGTATATGGTACACGTTCACCGGGAGAACATGCATTGAGAGGGACATGCATTCAACCGATCTTGAGCCTACTTTTCTTACTTGGGCGGTCCACTGTTCAGGATATACGTAACATAGCAACAGTCAAGTACACGCTGAACTCACATAATTTGTGCTCCCCTAATATTTTGCCAGCTTTGCTAAAAAGAAAGTTATTCACTCGCATATTTTGCGCTCCCCGACCCTCCCCAAGCCAGCTCGCGGGCGCGCACACAAAGATACTTTCCAATCCTTTGGACGGGCGCGCACCTTGCCAAGCAGACTAGCGCAGTCAAACGAGCTGCGAGTACACAGTCCATTCTTTTGAGGACTTCTTCCGAAGTAGGGCCTCCAGATTACCGTGCACGAACACTCAAACCTAGCGGCAAACAGGTCGGTGGAACTGTTCGAGCGTTTTCCTCCCTCTCTTGTCTTATCTCTACCACCTCGAGAATGCACGCTCGCGTCACGGCACAAAGAACTTTCTGCATCATCGGAGGTGTGCGACCTGCTCCGCCGCGGTGGTCTAGTGGCTAAGGTACTCGGCTGCTGACTCGCAGGTCGCCCGCGGTATCAAATCCCGGCTGCGGCAGCTGTATTTCCGATGAAGGCGGAAATGTTGTAGGCCTGCGTGCTCAGATTTGGGGGTCACGTTAAAGAACTTCCAGGTGGTTATGAAATTCCGGACCCCTCAACTAACGGGCGTCTCTTATAAGCATATGGTGGTTTTGGGACGTTAAACCCCACACATCAATTATCAATCAATCAAGCAATCATTTGAGGCGTACGATCTCTAATGGGCCTGTCACACTAACAGTTCTCCCTCGTTCTCTGCGTCCTCCGCGCTGCAACGCAGATGTGGTCCAGTTCCGAAGAGTGTAGGTTTGGCCATCCGGCCGACGCGTGTTCTAATGGTTCTCTTGGCGATGTGCTACAGTAAGTTAGATAGATATATATATAGATATATATATAATATATATATATATATATATATGCGATGATGTTATTCAGAACAGAGGAGTCGCAACGAGGTCGCGACGGAAAATGGGCGAACAGCAAGTCTGGCAAAGGCGGCACAGGTGCTCGCGCTATCAGAGCACGGGCTTCTCGTTGTCTTCCGAAGGCGCATACGCGGTGGTGCGTATGCTCCACTACAATACCCCCGGGGTGAAGGGTAGCCATCCTGGCGACTCAGGGAGTAGGCACAATGAGGGGGTCGTAGTAGGGCTTGAGACGGTCGACGTGTACGGTCTCGCGTCCTCGACGGCGCAATATCTGGTGATTGTGTTAATGGCTCGATGACGTAATTCACCGGGGAGGTCGCGTCAATGACACGGTAGGGACCATGGTACCGGGCCAGAAGTTTAGAAGACAGGCCAGGAACGTGCGGGGGCACCCAAAGCCACACAAGGGAGCCAGCACGAAATGTAGGAGCTATGCGGTGAGCGTCGTCGTGTCGAGTCTTTTGTAGGCCTTGAGCCTCACTTGTCAGAGACCGAGCCAACTGACGGCAGTCTTCAGCGTATCTGGTGACTTCCGAAAGCGGGGAGCACTCAGATGCATCAGGGCGATACGGTAGTATAGTGTCGAGTGGGTGGGAAGGTTCGCGGCCGTACAATAGAAAGAACGGGGAAAAACCGGTAGTCGCTTGCGTCGCGGTGTTATAAGCGAAGGTAACAAAGGGCAATACAGCGTCCCAGTTAGTGTGGTCGGAGGAGGTGTAAATCCTCAGCATGTCGCCAAGTGTGCGGTTGAACCGCTCAGTAAGACCATTGTCTGTGGATGGTGATGCGGTAGATTTCCGGTGGATAATGTTGCATTCAGCGAGGATAGCTTGGATGACCTCCGACAGGAACACTCGGACCCTATCACTGAGTAATTCCCGCGGAGCACCATGGCGTAGAATGAAGCTGCGGAGAATGAAGAGTGCAACTTCGTGGGCGGTCGCTGCCGGTAGAGCTGCAGTCTCAGCGTAGCGTGTCAGATGATCGACTCCGACAATAATCCACCGGTTTCCAGAGATACTATATGGGAGGGGGCCATAGAGGTCTATACCCACGCGGTCGAATGGGCGAGCCGGGCACGGGAGCTGGCTGTAACACTGCCAGTAAGGTGCCGCGGAGGTGTCGTGTTCCTGTTGGCAAGTGGTGCAAGACTGAACGTATTTCTGCACAAAGCGATACATTCCTCGCCAGTAATAGCGCTGGCGCAGCCTTTCGTAGGTTTTCAGGACACCTGCGTGAGCACTTTGGGGATCTGCATGGAAATTCATGCAGATGTCAGAGCGCATATGAGTTGGGACAGCAAGGAGCCACTTCCGACCACCAGGCATGTAGTTACGGCGGTACAGAATGTTGTCTCGTAAGGAAAAGTGGGCTGCTTGCCGGCGTAGCGCTCTCGTGGAAGGGACAGCAGACGGATCGGTAAGGTAGTCGACTAACAAGGCAAGGTGTGGGTCTTTACGCTGCTCCGAAAGCATGTCAGTCGTGTCGAGCGGTGACAAGGTGGTAAAAGGGGGAGACAGAGAAGCCACATCTGGTGTTACTGGCGATCGCGAAAGTGCATCGGCATCCGCATGCTTGCGACCGGAACGATATACGACACGGATGTCGTATTCTTGCAATCGAAGTGCCCAACGCCCCAGGCGTCCGGACGGGTCTTTCAAGGTGGACAGCCAACATAGAGCGTGGTGGTCTGTGACCACGTCGAAAGGACGGCCGTAAAGGTACGGGCGAAACTTCGTCAGCGCCCAGATTATGCCAAACACTCCTTCTCTGGTCACGGAGTAAGTCAATTCAGCCTTCTTGAGAGCGCGGACTTGCATAGGCGACTACGTATTCACTTGGGTGTCCTTGTCCGTTTGCCAAAACTGCACCAGAACGATGCCACTTGCGTCGGTGTGAATTCTCCGTGGCCGCAGCAGGTCGAGTGACGAAGAATAGGTGGTGAGGTCAGCAGGCGGCGGAGCTGGCGAAATGCGTCGTCACATATGCGGGTGACCTGCAGATATGCCTTTGCTGTTGGAAAGCAGACTCGTGAGAGTGCGATGATGGACCGAAGTTGCGTCACGAAGCGACGAAAGTAGGAGCAGAGACCGACGAAACTTCGTAGGGCTTTCAGAGATGTGGGCACGGAAAGTCAGCGACAGCTCGAAGCTATCGGGATCCGGAAGAACACCGTCTCTGGTGATGACATGTCCCAAGATGGTTAGTTTTCGTGCTGCGAAGTGGCACTTCTTGGAGTTAAGTTGTAGGCCTGCAGAAGTTAGACACGTCAGAATCTCGTGGAGGCGAGCAAGATGTGTCGGGAAATCAGATGAAAAGACTACGATGTCGTCCAGGTAACATAAGCAGGTTTTCCACTTGTGGGCACGCAAGATGGTGTCGATCATGCGCTCAAATGTGGCAGGCGCGTTGCAGAGCCCAAATGGCATGACTTTGAACTCATATAGGCCATCCGGCGTTACAAAGGCTGTTTTAGGGCGATCACATTCAGCCATTGGCACCTGCCAATACCCACAACGCAGATCCAAAGATGTAAAGTACTCGGCGCCTTGTAAACAGTCAAGAGCATCGTCTATTCGTGGTAGCGGGTAGACATCTTTTTTCGTAATATTGTTTAAGCGGCGATAGTCCACGCAAAATCGTACGGTGCCATCTTTTTTCTTGACCAGAACCACAGGTGATGACCAAGCGCTTTGAGAAGGCTGTATGACTCCACGTTTAAGCATGTCATCTACTTGCTCCGTAATGACGCGGCGCTCTTCGGCGGAAACGCGGTAAGGACGCTGTCGCAGAGGCGAATGTGAGCCGGTGTCAATAGTATGAGCGATAGTCGTGGTGCGGCCCAAAGCAGGTTCTTGAAAGTCGAAAAAAGAACGAAACTTGTTAAGGAGAGCAACAAGTTGGCGGCGATGCGAGAGGGGAAGGTCTGCGTCAATAGCATTGTCGAAGGCTGACGAACTTGATGGCTCAGACGCATGAGTGATTGCAGCAATGTGACATGGCGTTTCGTCGGGAAGAATAATATCATCGATATGGTCGACAGGTTGCACATATCCTAACGTTTCACCACGAAGTAAGCCAATGGGGGGGGGGGGCGGTGGCGGCGGGGCCGCGACGATGACTCTTAATCGGAGTTCGATATCATTGATTCCTACTACATTGAGCGGGACAGGATCGGACTGGTTAAAGTGCATGCTAAATCTTCTAAATAACAAAAAGATTTCGTTCCTGCTCCAATTTTAGGCGTACATATTGCGCGCGTAAGAACTGTCACAAAATATTCAGTATGCCCTCACACGCCCACGCGAAATCCCCGCGTTATTTGCGCACCTCTTTCTCGGGGCCCCAAAATTGCGAAAAAAAGGGGGCGCAAAGTATGCGAGTAAATACGGTAGAACACTCAGGATGGGCGCATCTCATATTGGTTTTCGAGCACGGTATTGACACTGTGTCTTCTACAGTGTAAGTCGTGTTTCCAAAGACACGGGCATACGGCACATCTAGTTGAGTACAACATGATAAAGACTACGCACCCCGAAACGGCCCCTTAGAGGGCGTGGCCTATAACTGCGTGGATGTGCCGCCACATTTCAGTGCAAATAGGGTATATACAATACAGTTTAGCACGCTCTCAAGTTTAACGGCATCATTGCTTTGGGTGCCACGCTGCCGAGTTGAACACGTACGACGGGACAGGCAGTATAAGTTAAAGGTCGAACGCCATCGTTACTACGGGAACACATGCTACAGCCCAGTATATTGTGATGTAGAACACTCACTTCTAAGCGGCTCCTGAGCAGGGCGCGGCAGAGGGCCGCCCTTGTGCGGGGCCACCGCTCGCCGAAGTTGGAGACGGCGTCCGCCTGCTCCTCGCCGTACAGCGGCACGGGAGGGGGCTCCGAGACTCCGGGAAACAGCCGGACCAGGTCGTTCACCCGGTTCTGGAACCAGTCGCGGTTCTGGTTGGAGCCGCGGGCGCGCGGAAGGTTGCACAGCAGCACGCCCAGGAGCACGTACAAGTCGTCCATGGTGGCCCGGGGCTCGGAGTCGGCGCGCAGAGCGCGAAGCTGGCGTCGCACAAAGGCACCGCTCACGCGCACCTCGTCCAGCCAGACGCCGTCGACGTCGCTGGCGCGGACCACCTGTCCAAGATGAAGGGTAGGATGCACACGTACCTCTGCAAACTATGTGGCGTTGCTTTCGTGTCGAACTGCAGTAGATCTCGTTACACTGTCCATCTTACCAGTACTTGGAGGACGTTTCAGCTTCACTTTCAAGACGTAACTTCAAGCGATCACGTGATTAATGGGAGAGCATTGGGTGGAGAGGCCACAGCTGTGGCAGTGCAACTGTCACTTCGTATACGTAGATGGTCGATATATCTGGAGACCTTCAATACCTCATTCGTATATCGTAGTTTTGAAAGTAAAACCTCGGTTAATTCTCACACACATAAAGCTCTAACAGTGCAACCAAGGTGCGTTTTACCGAAATCAACTCCATTTAGGGGGCCTGGTTGGACTGTAGTTGGCATGTACTACGCGGGTTCCACGAGTCTGTATTTGTTTCTACACCATACCCTGACGATCATCAAAACTCCAGTGAATTCTTTATCGGGAAAGAAAAAAAAACTTTGGAGGACGTTTGAGCGTCGCTTTCAAGACGTAATTATCCCCCACCCCCTATCCCGCAAAAAATTTTGCCTACACACCTGCTCCAAACCAGCACTTATTCGAATCCGGTGGCCTACATCCATTATTATCTAGGCCAATACGATGGCAAACGCCATGATATTGCACGAGTAAGCAAATACACCGAACGTAGAAAGTAAAAGTTGCTCACGTGATGTACATAAATTTACGCAATAAAACTAAACTAGCCTAGCCTACACAGCTTTAAACTTTACTCCATGCAGTAGTGCGCGACATGCCAGGCCGGTATCCAAGTGGGGTAGGAAAGGGACCACGTTACTTCGGCCATGTGGCGGCCTCCCATGATGGCTACGGTAGCTATGCAGTCCACAATGCTTAGCCAATGGCCGTAAATTTCGGTATATGGTGGTGTGAATCTGGTATGTGACATAATTTGTAGGGAGTGGAGGGGGGTATTTTCAGGCTGATTTCATAACTGTAAGTTCAAAACGCTGTGCTACCTAACGTTATGATCTTTGGCCCCCGTGTCCTGAGTAGCTTCGATGATATGTTATTGTACTAAATTTAGAAAAACCGTGGTGCCGCGATCATTCAGCCAGCATAGGAACGATGGCTAGAAGCACAAGTTTGCCTAGTTTTTGTAATGTCGCACGCTAGCCCTAATTCACGCAGAACGCACCGCTTCTTCTTGCCACTCTCCACAACCACGCCTAACTCCCTTTTTCCCACACACGCAACCCCCACAACTCCCCATCCCGATGATGATGTTGATGGTGCCCTCATGTAGTGCCCTCTCACGGCCAAGTCCTGATGATGATGATGATGATAATGGTGCCGTCACGTAACGCTCTCTCTCGGTCGCTTTCACAGTATATACTTGCAGGCTTCGGACGCACTTTTGGCTTTTTGTTCTTGTGTTTTGGTTTCGGATTTTTAAAAAATGAACAGTTGGAAACTTTGTAAGCCGATTTGAACAGGTAAACCAAAACAATCAAAGCTTTTAAGGGAAACATGCTGCACATATCGCTCAACTTCTTACCACGAAGCGGATTCAGGACAAACGGTGCCGAACTGAGCCGGAAGAAGGAAGCCTATAGACCAATCTGTCTGCTACCCATTATTCCCATGCAGTCTGAACCCACCACTCGTTCCAGCTGTCACAGACATTGTAAGGTCCGAGTTCCCTGTAGTACCAGGTTACCACCTCCTACAACCGATCGGCACCGTTCAGTGACCTTGCTGAAGCAGTCTTCGGGGCCACTTCGACACGACAGGTGCGTGACGCCATCGTTCACCTGTTCGTATCCGTCCTCACTGACGAGCTTGAAGAATCCCAGCAGGTAGGCGACCGCGGTGGCCGCGTCTCGACTCCGAGTCACCAGGCGCACGCAGTTCGGGTCGAACTGCTCTCTCGGGAACACAAACACCGCCTGGCGGGCGAACACCAAACGCGGCGGGGCGCCGTCAGCGGTCGCCATGGCTTCGCACCCGTGTGTGCGTTGCGTAGTTTTCCTGCGTTTGGAGCGGGACGGTGAGGGGGGCTATTGCGGAGACCTCCTGTAATGAATTACCCCTTGATCTGTAAGTGGTAATTTACTGACCGAAAAGTATAAAGTGGGATACCTTGTAAAGTACAAGGTGTGTTTGGCAAACGGCTGTGACCATGCAACTGACTATATTATGGTTCTTTTGTATCTTTTTTCTTTTGTTTGTGAAGTATCTCAGTGATCAAGTGATTAATGGGAGAGTATTGAATGGAGAGGCCACAGCTGTGGCAGCGCAACTGTTACTATGCACCGCTGCGCAGAGGGTAAGGCTCAGAGGCCACAGCTGGCACCGTTTCAGGGCACGGATTGACGGATGGTTTCCCTGAGTGTGCGACAACAAATGCTCTCACTTTCAAGAAGAAACATCAGACGTCACTAAATACGGTATACCCCGCAGACGACGATTGAGGGCGCCACTCCCAATATCTCTTTCATCCTCGCATGCTCCGTTCTAACTAAAATATTAAAAATTACATATTGGTTTAACGTATAAAAAACCAAGCTATGATCATGCAAGACGCCACAGTGTAGGGCTCCGGACATTGAGACCACCTGGTGTTTTTCAACGTTCGCTGACGTCACACAATGCACGGGCCTCTACCCCTTCGCCTCCATCGGTACGTGACCTCCGCGGCAGGAATCGAACCCGCTACCTTCGGGGCAGCAGCCGAGCAGCCTAACCGCTACACCACCGCGGCGGACCCTCCACTCTTACAATGAACGGTGAATTTTCACAAAAGCGTGCTGTTTCAATCCAGCTCTAAACTACTTCCCTTTGTACTGTCTCGGTAAGGGACGCCGCTATATAGAGCTTCGAAAGATTTTCCCCATGTCGTGGCGCGTAGCCAATCGTAGCGAACGATGCAGGTAGGCCTAATCTGCGAGAAAATGCCATAGCGAATTGTTTTGGCTAAATATAAGAACCCAAACGGTAGGCCGCAAACACAATTGTGCTCCGAATCCCCAGCCGGTGCCCCGAATTCCAACGCAATCATAAAAATCCGCTGGCTATTCACCTGTAATTAATAAATGTAGTGTACCGAAGCATAGTGGCGCCAGCTCTGTGCCAGCGTGAAAGAAGACGTTGACGTCCGTGTGTAGCTCGTGCTTTCCGGGTTCCTGCCTGTACCAGCTTGTTGCGGCTAACGTTTCTGGAATAATAACCTGTGTTTTTACGCAACCTTGCTTGTTGCATTTGGTGGAGGTGCTGGGTAACGTCCTGGAGCTCCGCAGCCGTAAGCTACTTTCTCAGTCCACGATGACCGAGCGCGTCGATCCCCCACAAGGCTCTTCCACGCTGCCACCTGTCATGTGTTCTTGTGTACTTCGTCTGCGTGACCCACCAGTATACAACGGCACTGAAGATCAAGATGTCGAGGACTGGCTGGCAGAGTACGAGCATGCCAGCGCGATTAACAAGTGGGATGACCCTGCGAAGCTGATTCACGTCATCTTCTACTTGACGGATTTGGCCAACCTATGGTTCACCAACCACCAAGCAGACATCCCCACCTGGTCGGTTTTCAAAGAGGCCGTCACCTCGTTTTTCGGTCGTCCAGCCATGCGTAAGCTTCGCGCTGAACTGGGACTGCGGGGACGATTTCAGCGAAATGGTGAGAGCTTCACAAGCTACATTGAGGATGTGATCAGCCTCTGTAGGCGAGTTGATGACAGGATGACGGAGGCTGACAGAATAAAGAACATAATGAAAGGCATTGATGACGACGCTTTTCATATGCTTGTGGCCAAAGACCCACAGACCATCACGGCCTTGATTCAGTTATGTCAAAGTTTCGATGAGCTGCGCAAGCAACGAGTTTCTACACGTCGCGCTAATACGCAGACAGCTGATATTTCGGCCTTGGAGTGCAAAAGCAGCGGCCCCGACTACAGCGTGTTAATGCCTCAAATTCAACAGTACATCCGGGAGGAAGTTGCTCGACAGCTCTCTCTTGTCGCCACCATCAACGAGACCCCCACAACACTGGACCACTCACTTCGCCGTGCTATTCAGACGCAAGTTGCCGAGGCTCTCCCTTCGCCCACATCCCCAATATCAGTGGCTGCACCGCTGACTTATGCAGAAGCCGTCCGCCGACCTTCTGCCCAACCGCCGCTCCCTTCATACAGTCCAGCCACCAACTACTACAGGTCACCAGTTTCAGTTTATCCGGTAAATCGGCCCATTCCACCACCTCGAGCACCTGCCAACTCTTGGCGTACTCCGGATAACCGGCCCATCTGCTACAACTGTGGTATTCCAGGACATGTCGCGCGCTACTGTCGTCGCCGTGGATTCTATTTTAATGATGTGCAGCATTCCGGCAACATACCTCGGCCATCAGAATCGCATGTGACACCTGATTCGCATGACCCCCGCTCACGTCGACCAGACTTCAGCCGACGTCGATCTCCTTCACCCCGTCTTCGGTCTCCTTCCCCCATGCTTCGCCGTTCCAACCACGCCCAGGAGGAAAACTGACAGTCGCAGTTCCTGAGGCAAGAGCTGCGCCACCGACGAAATTTCCAAGGCCTCATCTATCGCCCCCTAACGAGATTGCCGTGTTTGTGGACGGTTTCGCCACAACTGCTCTTGTCGACACAGGTGCCGCTATTTGTATAATCAGTGAAGTGTTATGCCGCAAACTGAACAAAGTGACGACTCCACTGGTTGAAATTTCTTTACGCACGGCGAGTTCGCAACACGTCCAACCTTCTGCCACATGCACTGCTCGTGTTGTGATTCAAGGAGTGCTTTACATCGTAGAATTTGTCGTCCTTCCGCATGCGTCTCATGAAATCATCCTGGGATGGAACTTTCTTTCCGCTAATCATGCGGTTGTCGACTGCGCTCGTGCTCAACTCGTTTTGTTTCCATTCAGCACGACATTCATAGATCTCCCTCGCTCACCCAAAAAGGTGATCGTCGCCGCTGACGTCGTCATTTCTGCTTTTTCGGTCACCGCGGTATCTCTTTTGTGCAACTCCGTTTCCGATTCAACTGCCCTATTTATGCCGTCACAAGAATGCGCTCGTCGCCGGAACCTTGTCGTCCCGTTTGCCGTCATAACACTTGCCGATGGCTCCAGTGCCGTGTACGTGTGCAATCCGTTCCCTTGTCCCGCTACCTTATTGCATGGCGAATGCATTGGGAGTCTTGACACTTATGATGACATCTTTCCTTTCGATGCCCGTTCTGATACGACACCGATGTCCGTGGATGCTGTCACAGCTGGCACCGCGCCCTCACTACCTGACGAAGACGTTCTGTTGCGCAGCGTAGACACCAGCCTTACGCAAGACCAGCGCAATCAGCTCATTCAATTACTTGACCGTTTCCGCGCCTCCTTCGACCACGGACAACCTCCCTTGGGACGCACGTCAGTTGTCGCTCACCATATCGACACCGGTCATCATACTCCACTTCGTCAGCGCCCCTACCGCGTCTCGCAGGCCGAGCGTGACGTCATCACTCAACACGTCGACGAGATGCTGCAACGTGGTGTTATTCAGCACTCACACAGTCCTTGGGCTTCGCCAGTGGTCCTCGTGCGAAAAAAGGATGGCTCCATCAGGTTTTGCGTGGATTATCGTCGACTAAACAACATCACACGCAAGGATGTTTATCCTCTGCCACGCATTGATGACGCCTTGGATTGCCTTCAAGGTGCGGAGTTTTTCTCTTCACTGGATCTGCGCTCTGGATATTGGCAAGTACCAATGGCTGAACCAGACCGTCCAAAAACGGCGTTTGTGACCCCTGACGGCTTATATGAATTTAATGTAATGCCCTTCGGTCTTTGCAATGCGCCTGCGACTTTTGAAAGAATGATGGACAGTGTCCTCAGGGGACTTAAATGGCACATCTGTCTTTGCTATTTAGACGACATAGTTGTATTCTCGGCGAATTTCGAAACTCATCTTTCCCGTCTGGAACAAGTTCTCCAGTGCCTTACGGCAGCCGGGTTGCAACTTAACTTCAAGAAATGTCGTTTTGGCGCCCGCAAACTCACAATTCTCGGCCACGTAGTTTCAAAAGAAGGAATATCGCCAGATCCTGCCAAACTGCGTGCCGTTGCCGAGTACCCCAAGCCTACTACCCTAAAGGAGCTTCGTAGTTTCATAGGCTTGTGTTCCTATTTTCGGCGTTTCATTCGCAATTTTTGCCTCTATAATTGCCCCTCTGACTCAGCTTCTCTCCCGTAGCACGGACCTCTCTGGCTGGAATTCCCACTGCGATGAGGCATTCACGGCGCTACGCCGGCTACTCATCTCTCCGCCAGTTCTCCGCCACTTCGATCCCAATGCACCCACTGAAATTCACACGGATGCAAGCGGTGTCGGCCTCGGTGCCATTCTCGCTCAACGCAAGGATGGCTGCGACGAGTACGTTGTCGCCTATGCCAGCCGTACACTAACGAAGGCAGAGTCCAACTATTCCGTCACGGAAAAGGAGTGCTTGGCTATCATTTGGGCTATAGGAAAATTTCGCACCTACCTTTACGGACGCCAGTTTGATGTTGTCACAGATCACCATGCCTTATGCTGGTTAGCGTCCATGAAAGATCCTACTGGCCGCCTCGCTCGTTGGGCTTTACGCCTTCAGGAATACGATATCCGTGTTGTTTATCGCTCAGGACGCAGACATTCAGACGCTGATGCACTATCCCGTTCTCCACTGCCTCCTGACCTTGCCTGCTTATCAACTGCCATTTGCGACTCGTCATCGTTGAGCATCACTGACATGCCATCCGAACAGCGCAAGGATCCCTGGATCAATTCTTTGCTCGACGTCCTCTCTCACAGTTCGTCAGAAACGACTTCACGCTCCCTCTCTCGTCAAGCAAGACACTTTGCTGTCCGTGAAGGCTTGTTGTATCGCCGCAATTACGTGACGGATGGCCGTAGGTGGCTCCTTGTCATCCCTCGTC